TGATGTTCAGGTGTATATCAGTATGTAGTGTCTCTACTTTAAAGAGTCCTCTCCTGCTGATGTTCAGGTGTATATCAGTATGTAGTGTCTCTACTTTAAAGAGTCCTCTCCTGCTGATGTTCAGGTGGATATCAGTATGTAGTGTCTCTACATGCTCAAAAAGCTCTTTATTTCTGTGCAGCAGCACCTCTTTTCACCCTCTGTCTCAAACCAGAGCCCATTCTGCTCTGATTGGTTAACTGGCCGGCTACGTTGTGATTGGTCAAACGCTTATAGCTGTCCCACCCCTTAGCCTATCACGTACAATGTGTTGGAGCGGTAGCCAATAGAAGCAAGAGTGTTACACAGTGATGTCCCTACGTTACGAAAGTAAACAATCTGTATATATGTACTGTTTGTGTTGAATTTTTTAGTATTCTATTATTTTATTTATTTTGTATCTATTTTAATATATTTTAATTAATGTGCAATGCCTTGTTTACATCCTGCTGTCACACAAAAATAATTGGGATGAATAAAGTATATAAAATCTAATTTAATCGAATAATGTCTGTGAGCAATCCAGCAAGGTAATGTAAGGCTGTGAGGCGTGTGACTGCAGTACCTTTCTTTTTTGCTGCCCAGTTTGTTCGCTGTGTATTGATCTCCATAATCGATCAGATTAAGCTGCCGTGAAAACACGTTCACTCGATTCCCGACGAACAAGTCCTCCTGATGGAGGTCTTCATATTTGGTCCTTCTCAAAAATATTCGCTGGTTTTTAACATCAAACTAAAAAGGCAAAAAACAAACACATTGGTCATTTAATAATATTATATAGTGGTAGACTTGAGCGGGATAAAATTACTATGAGAAATATCCCAGAGAGGGTTAACCTGGGTTGTAAAGCAGCGGAAAAATACAATCATGGAATAAAAATCCTGTTATTCTTCTTGAATATTCAAATGTTGAGACTCTTCAACTTCTTGAATCGCCTGCTAAATTAGTGTTTCATTTGAACTGCTTCTGATGTGCGTTATGTATGTTGTAAATTGTGTAGTTATGTGCCATTTGGGATTCATGTCCTATTTGTACAGATGTTTTGCTTCAATTACAAAAGAAGCCTAAGAAAGTTGAAGCAGCCTCTGTCACATTAAATAAATAGTATTAGCAGTAGTGAATGCTCACCATTTCCACTGAGTTGTCTTGTGGGTAGTAGAAGAGTTGGTAGCGCCTCAGCAGAGCTGCAGTCGGGTCGTACCACTCAGTGAGAAAGGCGTATCGTTCCTCCTGAAAATGTCAAGGAAAGAGAACACATCAGAGGGACAACGAGGCACAAATAACCCATATGTTAGGTAACAAAAGAGACCTAAAAAAAGATCATAATGTCACTTTAAAACATGAGACTATGATAATCTGTCACAAAGATCAATGTGTATAGAAATTGACCCAAATGGTCAACAAGAAAATATGACATAGAGTCCAAATCATAAAGTTGAAGTAGTCTCTGTGCCCGTGTCAACAACATTTACATTTGTTGCAGAGGACGTTCTGTTGCGTTAACCACATCTCCCAGGTGATTTATTTCATTTCTGATTTGATCTGTTCACGATGCTCCATGTTTAAGTGTTTCACATTTGTGATATTGTTATCCCACCTTCTATCAGTGTTTTGATTTTGATCATCAACTTGTCGAGGCTGCGTGAGTTATTATAGGTAATGCAGGTACACTTTTAACCTTTGAATTGTAGTGGGGTAAAAGAACAAAGTAGCAAAAATATTTAAATGCTTAAGTAAAGTAAAAAAGTATCTCAAATTTGTACGTAAGTACAGTATATGATTAAATGTAGTTAACGTCACTGCTTGTTCCTAGCTGTTATGTATATTAAAATGTACATCAAATGCATGTGTGCATTTGTAGTTGGCATGTTAAAATGTAGTATTTCATTTTCCTGTTTCTTTGTACTTCTACTCCACTACAGTTCAGAGGTGAATGGTGTACTTTTACTAGTTACTTTACAGATGTGGATGAATGATGTGAAATATAATCAAGTGTTAAATCAGACTTTAGTTCCACCTGGAGTAAATTCACCAGCTACCCTGCAGTATACAAAGTCATTCAAACTAGCTGCACCTTTACCAGCTTTGAGAACACTTTCATGATCAATCATTATAAAACATATCATAGATATTATTCTGAAATGGACCAATCTGCACAATGACTACTTTTACTGTCGCTACTTTCACTAGATGTTGATGATAATACTTTTCTACTTTTACTTGAGTAACATTTTGAATGCAGGACTTTTACTTTAACAGAGTATTCCTACACTCTGGTACTGGTACTGGTCTGAGTACTTATACTTTTACTCAAGTACAAGATCTGAGTACTTCTACTTTGACTTAATTAAGTACAAGCGATCTGAGTACTTCTCCAACGTCTATTTAAAGTTAAATGTAGTATGTGATTGTAAACAGTATTTAGAATTCAATTTAAGGTAACGATAAAACGTTACAAATTAAGCCAAGCAGTCAACGCTAATCTTGTTAGTTGCCACCAATTATTATAGTTGTAAATGTTGTTTTTACTTTTAATTAGTTGTCAAAAAAGGTTATTTTAACGAGTCTAACGGTTGGTAAAGCTAACTGTTATGCTAACTGATAGCCTGTGTTTGCTATGCTTCCGTATGCAAACACTTTTCGGTTTTGTCCGTTGAAGCGTTATATATCCAAACCGTGCTGAATGTCTAACCATCGGATAGTGTGTTTACACAATGAGGACTGAACGGAGGGTTTTTAACTTACCATTTCTGCCCAATTCACAACGTATATTCCTAAAGTCCCGATGCTGTGTTCAGCTGGCAGACATTAGCCATCGTGCTGTGTCCCGTTGCTATAGAAACTGTGGACAAGGTGCGTTCAGGGTCGATAACAGACAACTGAAAAAACCTCGGAATCTACCAATTGTCATCAAATAAAATGGTCCAAAGAGAAAATCAAAAAATAGCCTATGTATTTTATTATGATTATATATTATGTATTATTATATTATGTTTTATTATAAGTACTGTACTTAAGTATATGTTTGAGGTATTTGTACTTTACTTGAGTATCTAAGATGTCAATAATAACATACAGTATATGGTATATTCATATTAATTTTTGTCGACAATGTCTGCATTATACTGGATATATGTATACCTGATATAGGCTATATTCAATTTATATACTGCTGTTATTAATGCGTATACCTCCTTATATTGTTCATAGTGTAAATACCTCAGTTTGTGTATATCTGTCACATGTATATATTATACTTGAATAACTTTCTCCTCTTTTTGCAGACTTTTCTCTGATCTCTGCAAGTCTCACATAAAGTGTGTAATGTGGTAATATTAGATCATGATTAAATATTTTAAGAGCTCTGCTGCCATCTTCTGGACTACAGGCTGAATGTAAAAATTTAGGAATTTATCATCAACACCTGGGATATAATTTGTACATTTCCCACATTTTTTGGGCATAATAAATATAAATGTAAATACATAATGATAAATAATACATTTAGAAAATCAAATCGGGAACATTATCATAAAAAACATTTAAAATACAAATTCATAACATAAAAACAGAGAGATTTAGGCTAGTTTTGTTTATGTGGATCTGTGGTAATGTAACTTTAAATGTTTAAATGTTACATATGTTTAACAGTATACATCAATTAAAGATACAAATCCATTGAGCCAATGCATTATTCACATTATAGATCAGGAATTCACAAACTCGGACATTTATTTCTGTGTTCTTTCTCATTTTTGACAGTAGATGCTTTCGCCTTGATTTAAAAAAACAACACGGGGCTTCCGTAGAAACAACACGGCAGCGTTGTTCGGGGGCGGGGCTTAGCGAACGAACGTTCAAATATTGATCTG